TTCAGTTCATCAGAACAGAACTTTCCACTCCCTCCTTTTTGCAAATTTCTGTTAAAACAACATGTTGCAATTTCAATGAATTAGTATTTAAAAAAAAATCATAAAAATCCCTAATCAGATACAGCATAGAGTAATGCCAGTACTAATTACATGAAAATAAGGAATATGTGTCTCGTGGCAGAAGAAGAAGAAAGCTGAAAGACATGAGTGTGCCTTGCATTAACAAATGTACAAAATAGCTTATGAAAGAAGGAAGTTAAAAGAAAAAAAGAACAACATCCAAACAACTATCACTATTCTTTTTGCCTTAATGAATTTTCCTTTCATTGTTAGAATATGCTATAGATCCTAAAGAACTACTTAGCTTCTAAGTCTCTTTTCCCATCATTCAAACTACACTGCAATAAGAAGCTAATTACAGGTGTACAGGTGTACATGATCTCTTCCTTCTCTTCTCCTTCTGAAATTGGGACGCATACACCTGTATTACAGATAGAGTTTTAAAGCAATATGCTTGCTTATAGCACGCTGCAGGATCTACAGGCAGCAGGGACCCATCTCAGAAGTGCCACAAGGAAGGTCCATGGCTGAGAGCAGCAACCATGACTGGGATAGCCTCCTCTTTCAGCAGAGACTACAGTTCCATCCAGGTGTGCACAGTCACACGTGGGATTTCCTCCGATCCCAGCTCTGATCAAGTGGCCTAGGCCCGAGAAAAGATATTTTTAAGTGTTTAAGCTCCCTCAGGTTGTTCTGATGGGACTGATGAGGCGATGAGGCATCCTAGTTCAACAGCACTCAGTTTGAATCAACAGAGAGCCAGGGGCTGAGCATAGCCACCCAAAAGCTCTACTTGCAGAGTCCCTGCGCACTCTCAGTGTACAATCCATGGCTAAAAAAATGCCCATTTCCTTGCAGAGCTCTAGATCCCCTGTCAAAGGAACCTACGTGAAACCCTCTGGCAGCATGACTTGAAACTACAATAAGTCAGAAAAGACAAATGTCAAATGCAGTCTCTCATTCACACACTGTGAAAGCAAATACAGCAGGTAAGCTCAGCGCTTCCTCCCCATCCGCTCCTGTTGAACTTGGGTAACTTCAGCACATGGATCCTGTGCAGCGAAGGAAGGCGGCTTGAGAGCCCCTCTCTCATGAGTCAGGAGCTTTGTGCAGAGGGGCATCGGCTGCTCAGCTCGTCTGCTGGCATTGCCACAGAGACCGGTGGCCTCATCCCACTCTGATTGCAGCTTTCCTGACCAGCAGAGACGCCTCCAGTTGGTTTTCCAACTGCAGGGCAACGCTAGAGTGACGAGCACAAAGAAACAGCAGTAGCTTACCAAGCTCTGCTCCACAGCTGCACTTCAAAACCGCCTGCAATATTGTTTGGGAGTGTTTTAAACTGTGGCATGAAATGGAGAAGAGCCATTTAAACACTGTGAGAAACGATTCCAGGGAGAGTTTCATTACTAAGTGATTTTAGCACTTCTCATTTGTCTTTTCAGGCATTTAACCAGGTATCTTTTTCTCCTTTTCCATCCTTAAGGAAAGAAAAGATGCTCTTTCCCAAATGTGGTTGGCCGAGGGCTGGGGAATCGTTTTGTTACAGGAGATGAAAATGTTGACAGATGTATATTTTTGTCCCATTGTTTATGAGTCTTTTTACTCTAAGAAGTCTTTATGAATGGAACAAACAGACCTCACACTTGTCTGTAATAATTCATGTACACATGTGCATTGTGATCTACCTCCTGATATTTTGTGTGTGTTCTTGATTTTTTTCTGCTATACGAATGAAAGACATTGCAAGTATGATATATGTAGCCATTACTTCCTGCTCTTTCTCTTTGCAATGTTGTTAATTACATATGCAAACTTTGGCCTGTTGGGGAGATTCATTACTGGCTCACAGATAAGATTCTCTAGACAATTGCCAGGTCAGAACGTTTATTAATGCAATTGTTTTGTATGGAAAAAGTTTGGCTCCATGGTGGAGAAGATGCTCTCTGAAGAGACTGTGGAGACTAGGAACTTAATAATTAAGGAGGATGTTACAAAAACATATGTCAATACTGCTCAATATGTGGATGGAATGTAATTGAAAAAAAACTATGTAGACTCTGACTTAAAAGGAGAGAGAGTCTCATGAATACATGCTATAATCCCTAGACAGAGAAGCAACAATTAGCCTGACAATACAGTCTGGCTGCAGAATGTGTCACACTCCAAAGTAATACTGATAAACTGGAGAAAAGCTAAGCCAAGCCAATAAGGCATAGCTTAAGCACAGTGGAAACTACCAGGGAACTTTGGTTGGTTTTCACTTCTATCCTACATTACTCGCACTGAAGAGTAGGAGGATATGGTTTACTGAAGTATTTCAATGTATGTTAAATCAGTTCCTGTTCAAAGAATATTTAAATATGCACCTAATTTCATATTCCATTAAATCTTGCATCTGAATAGCTTCCTGAGAGGTGCCTGAGGAAGCTGGTCACTGTGTTGATTTTCATGCGTTTGCTAGACATGCCTAAAGGTTCTATGATGCTTAAATCCCACAATTACCCACAATCTTTTTAAAGCACATTTCAGTGTTTTTCTGAACAGAAGTTATAGATCTAATCTGAGATTAACTACACATTTCTTGATGGAAGTGAGAAGTGAAGAAATTTCCCATAATCCAGTCTAGGGCACAAATGTAATCCACTATTTTCTTTCTCAGATACATGTAGAATTGAATCTATATTAATCTCAAATAATAAAAAAAGGAAGGCAATACTGATTTTGACTGTACGAGGCATTGCTATTTGGCTGGTGTTGACCAATATTTTCATTTGTTTTTAGCTCAAAACACCAGTGAAGGTGTCCTGAAGCTACTAAATGTAAATGGAGTTTTGAGTCATGTAGAGAATTCTCACAGTTTTTCTACCCCCAAGGAGTAATGTTAAAACTAAAAGCTGAAGATTTTATGTCCCAGAAAGATGAAGTAGTTGCAGAAGACTGAAGACCTTTTTCCAAAATTCTTAGAGCAGCTTCAATAGACTAGATCACATCCCATGTATATATGAACCATCAGAAGCCTGATCTTACCTTTCTTTTGGCTAGACAACCCCTCTTGTGGATGAAAAAGCTATTCTTGCTCTGTTTCATACCTTATATATTTTTCATAGCATATTTCACATCAATAGCTTAATAGTGAAGAACAGTTTCTTTTCACACTCAAACACGGCACATTCTTGCAATCTGCTCAGCAAATCATCTTGCTACAGTCTTGGCTGAGCCTGCGATTTCAACACGGGGCTTGAGGAAAGAAGTGCATTTTTCTGCGCAGTCATTCTGTTTTGCATTTCCGCTGGCTTGGGTTTACTGTGATTACTTGAAAATTTTCCAAATAGCCCTGTGAGAATTTGGTAAATACTTATAGAAAGCATCTCTCTAAGTGTGTGAGACATTAAGTGCATAAAAAAACCCAGCTAATAGCCAGCAGTTCGCCATGTTGTTCTCATTTTGTCAGCTTTACCACTGTTTTCACAGGATAGTGGCTTTGAAAAACAAAAGGGGGGGGGGGACGACCAAAATAAACAGTAGTAATGCCTATTACAGGGAATAAAGTCAGGAGGTATAATCTCTTGCTCACATGTTTAGGATTCAGGATTTCTTTAACTTGGCTAGCCCATGCAAGAAATCCCTATCGATGTGCGGAACATTTACTTCCATATTTTTGTTAATGCTAAGAGATTGTTTTCTTTCATTTTTAAGCAGTCCCTGATCCTGCAAATAAGCATTGAAACACAAGAATAACAGACTCCTAACTTCAATCAGATTGCAACTGGGAATAGGGTAGTTAGGCACGTGCAGCATCTGGTTGCAGAATTAAGATCATCCAGCATCTGGTGGCAGAATTAAGATCATTCATCTCTAGAGTCTTCTTATGTAATCATAATATGAGTTATGTGCACATAGGATTCATTCAGTACAGGCTCCTTTACCTGAGAGGAGGAAACTAGTTTTCAGAAATCAGAGGGCAATCCAGACAACAAATATAGCAGTTCTTGCAGAAAGTATGTCAACTCCAAACAGCAGACACATTCACACACCATGATATTTACAGATGAGGAAATACCCTGAATATATAAAGATCCATTAACCAGTTATAAACTAAATGTAGGTCTATGTGTTTCATCAAAATTGAAGATATTTATCAGATCCCCCCCAAAACTAGTTGCATTTGACATCTAACAGAGGGTCATATCTCACGAGACCACACAGCTTTTCTCAATTGTCTTGGAAAAAAAAAATGTAAGATTTGTTTGATATCTACTAATTCCATTAACAACTCAGGTTTGAACTTAAAGCAGCAATGATGTTAATATCTTTAGCATTGTACTTCATACATTTCTAGAAAGAAATTCATATTACTATTTTTTACTTAATAAAATAATCTCAAAATATGTTAATATTTAAATATCACAGGGGTTGGATATTCAAACTGCTTAGAATTTTGCTTTCTGAAAATCAATGCTAATATCACATGATGAATCAATGCTAATGTCACACTGAGTTTAATATGTTAAAATAGTGGATAAAAAGCAACAGAGTTTTCTAAATATTTCTAGAAGTTGTTTTTAGTATATGCAGTCATTAATGTGTTAAGACAAGTATGAAAATGCATTAAAGGATCAGGAATATTTTCCTGCAGGTACTTAGAACCTAATAAATAATGAATGTGGTGATTAACTACATGGGCATAAGCACAGTACATTACTAAGGAAAAAAAATACATAAAACTTGGCCTTTGAACAAGAGTGCACTATTATATTTAATGCATAAAACCACTTGAATATAGTCAGTTGTGTGTGAAGGAAAAACAGGAGAAGTAAGTGAGCTTGAATTAACATTGTATTTTCAAGTGAAATTGACTTAAATATCGCCAAGAGCAACCAGGGCACCCGGAGTTTTGGTGGAAAGGAAGCAAAAGGAAGCGAGCGGAGTGAGGACACCCTTTAGTGTTGCTTGAGCAGCCACAGTGGCTTGTGGAGGTCTAAGGAGCTGAAGTAGGACCACCACCACGGCTTCTCCCTCGCCTGTGCCGATCCCCCTCGTGTCTCGGGCTGTGCGTGGGGGTCGAACAGCTCCAGCGGGTCGTATAGATCGTACGCGTCTTCCATGGGCCGGCGGAGCAGCTTGCTGGGCCAGGCCTCAACGGGGCGCAGAACGAAGTCCACGCGGCCGGCCTGCTTCATCTTGGTGGGCAGGGTGACCCTCTTCATCACACGGCTGTAGCCCACAGCTTGGGCACTGATGATGTACGTTCCTGGAGGCAGGAGGCGCCAGTAATCTCCATCCACAGCTTAAAAAAGGCAAACACAATAAAACAGACCTTATATTTTAGTCTTCTGTTCTTTAGGGATATGTATTTGTATCCACCTCCATGCATGCAGAGCACAAGCGTTCTGACCAAATCCTGAGATTTAGTCAGATCAGATTTTTGGAAAAAAAAATATATACATATATATTAGATATAAACCCTTGAGCTATGAAAAAGGACTCTTCTTGTGAAATTGTGGCCTTTGGGAGCTAAAGCAGTAAAACTCACATGCAAAATTTTCAGGAACTGATGTATCTACATCACAAGGAAAGGAAGCTTTCCTTCATGCATGGTACAAGGAACAACTCCAAAGAAATGAAATGAATTAAAAACCATGCAAAACTTAAGAAAGCACAAGCAGAATCCAATCTACAGTATATATTTCTAAGGACCGAAGAAATCCCTCTTTTTTCTTATATTACATTCTATTATTTTGCAGACATTACAGAGAATTAGACGACGGAGTCAGAGTTGTAGCTGGTATAAATTGCCAATAGTGTAAAATGGGTGCAAATTTCCACCAGCTGAAGATTTGAGCCTGCAGGCAAAAGCAGGGCATTTTAAAGTGAAATATTTATTCTTCATTTTCTATTTCCTTTATTTTGAATAGTAGGTTTCTTAACACAGTTAATGTTGCATTAATGTTGTTTTCTCATGGAATTTCTCAGCCTTTTTTTAACATTAAATGTTAAAAGACATTTCAGTCTTATGACACTCTTAACTCCACCTAAAATGAGAACAAATGCTCCTTTTTCCTTCGTATGTAAACACATTTTTTATTTCATTCTTAGTTCTTTAAAGGTCCACTGCCAATGGAAAGCCATTGTCTGGGAAGAAGTTTGAAAGAGACCCTAATTCATGCCAGAGTCTCCCACCAACCTCAAGAATCTGCATCATCTCCACTATTGTGTCCCCTCTAATGTCATTTTTTTTTTCTTGAAAGTTGGAAAGCATCCACTATATTATAAATTGTTCTGGCTTTCCAAATGGATTCAACAGCTACCATTAGAGCAAAACGTTGCCACTCGTGTCTTCTATCTAGCACTCGTACAGCAACCTATTCTCCCTCAAATCAATAATAAAATGAGAGCATCGATTTCAGTGAGAGCCTAAAAGCTCAGAACTTTATGTCTGTGAAGATTAACAATTGCATATGCATTGATACACGCTTATCATCTGATGACAGGTATATGGTGATTGTAATTCAGTGCTCTAGTCTCTTTGCATTTGGTATAAGTTTTGTCAACAAATCATGTATGTTTATTCATGTTTTTCCATATTAACAATAAAGGTTGCTTACCCTCAAGCAATGCTGTTATTCAGGTTGTTAAAGTCAGTGTGGTTTCCACCCTAATATGGATGCCTCAGTGTTTCAACTAAGTTTGTTTATGAGGGCTCCATGCCTCGATACCCTGAGCTGAATGTGAGTACAAGATGGCCAGAGTAACCCTTGTCATGTCTCCAGAGCTATTGCCACATTCCCCCAATGTGAAACATGTCCTTGATGATGAACCGTGGAATTTGTGTAATGACCCGCTGTCTTTTATGGCCAGCTGACTCTCTTGCCAGAAAAAAAATAAGAAGTTATTGTTAGTTCATAGAAAGTCAGGTTATTGTTAGGTGACGTTCTCAAGATCAGTGTAATTCAATTATTTCATGAATTAAAAATGAGTGGGCATTCCCTTTCTTGTGAGCTAGCAGGTTGCTCGCATGTTGCCTACTACAACTGGTGGTATCTATGTGAGGTTCTTGAACAGTCATGCAGATTTAGCCTCTGAAAAACACATTCCTTGTATTAGGAGATGATAGGGATATAATGTATTTTATCGAGGCCTGACAAAAACAGCAAGAAGGTTCTGGGATGGTATTTTTTTTCTTGAGCATCCACAACCCACAAGGCAGCCCTTAGAACATGAGAGAAGCAGCAGAGTTAACTTTTGAGTTTGTCTTGTAGGAGAATGAGACCACTACAGCAGGATTAAACCCTGAAGGCAGTGTATTGGTAATTAACCTTGGCCTTACTCTACAAGATCACTGGAAGGTACAAGCATCTTCCTATGTTCATTTGTTCTTTTTAAGCTAAAAGAACAATAAATGAGGAATTTCTTCTCCAGCTTGGTGTTAAGCCTATAAGAAACCTAAATCAATAAACACATGAGAAATGAGGTGGGATTGCCACTGTGTTATCTTTACACCCTGGTATGGGAAGCTGATGAGGTTTAGGGTATATATGTGGCCTGAAGAGGAGATTATTCATGGAGCAAGGCTTCATTCACACAAGGCTTTAACATACCTACAGCAGCACATACACACATACATATAAAAAGAAAAATGGCAATAATATAAAGGTCTAATTTTAGCCTATGCAAAGGACACTTGGTATAATTTGTAGTAAATGTTATGTGCAACTCTAAATCTAAATGGCGAAAAGTGGGTCTTTACTTCATGCATGTAGCTACATTAGCTCTGGTAGCTCTCTATACGTATAACACCGTATGTACGATGAACTTTGATGTGTCTTCTCTGTCGCTATTCTAGAAACAAACCCACAGTAGAGAGCCGAATTCTCCAGTAATGTGATATTCAGTCCTCAGAGTTTTCACTCTTATCACAGGAAAAAGCTCCAACTAAAAATATTACCTGTGGTGACATCATGCTGGATTCCCCTGACCGAAATCCGAGCATTCTTTATTGGGTTGCCAAATTTATCAGACACAATTCCTTTTATCCCCCGATGAACCTGACAAAGCAAAGCACAGTTAGATAGATGTTAATTATTATGATAGCTGCTTCTCATCTTCTCCCAGGAAACCCATTTAGAGAGGAAACGACTTTTGCAAGGTTCGACACACTGTGGAGGGTCGCAGGTGCTCAAGACGCCTCCAGATCACACGCTCTATTTTTTGAGCTCTGCAAAGGTGATTCCTTCTTGGAGAGAGCTGAAGAAAAGGCTGAGTTGGACAACAGCTTTTGCAGACTAAGTACATGGCCATGCACCAAGGGCCCCTTCTATGTGCACAGCAACTACAACTCATCTATCCACTGTATTTAAAGAATGTTTTCCAATGTCTGTCCCAGACCCAGAACTACCAAGAAGTGAAATATTAGGGCTTTTAAAAAACAGGCTGATATTTTATGCACAAATCTGGTGGAATGACCAAAGTCAGTTCAACACAAAGCAATGGCCCTTTAATCTACCTAAGGTGCCACATTAAAAGATGGGTGAAATAAATCAAAATAAAGTAGTATCACTAGCTTTCAGTATTATCATTTGCTTTCAGATAATATCACTTATCAAGTAATACATTGCCATCATATCAGAAAAAATAATTAATGCAGGTTGAAATTGGGTCTTTAGTATTAGTTGTAATACACACTTTTCATTTTTTTCCAAACCCATATTAAAACATTCCAAAATGCTTCAAGATAAAAAAATAAAAATGACCAATTATCCTGTAATAGATATGCTGTTACTATTTTAAAATAGAGCAGAAGCATAAGAACAAAATAAGAACAAAAAGACTCTTTCAAATTTAAGAAGAAATTAGAAAAACAAATGTTTGTAATATGATACATATCATTTTATATAAATATTAATATTTCATTTAATATAATACAAGCTTTAAAATATTTATTAATCATTATCAATGCATAATATTAATATTAATATATAATATTTCACACAACTGCTGATATTAATCAGATGTAATTGTTAATATTAATTGACTAATGTTCTGATTTAATATCAGTTAACAGGAATAGTGCAGTGAAATCTTCAGCTACTTTTGACGCATCATCTTTCTGCTGCTCGTGTGTCCCTGCGTGTCAGACTGTCACGACTGCAGTGTGCACCGTATTCATCTTCCTCTCTCTACAAGCAGAGACCTCAGCTGTGCTTGAGCTGATGAGAAATGTGCTGGGTGACAAACTGAAGGGCAAGGGGAATTCTGTCATACTAGAAGGTGCACAACCAGGATACTATATTCATAGTTTGATATTAAAAAAAAAAAGTCCCAGTTTTTAAAGGTTTGGCCAAGTTTGTGTGAGTGTGTGTACAATCTTCAAATTAGAGCTATTCTATTGTGAATTATATATGAGTAGTAATCACATTTTCAGTTTTTTTCCCCCAATCAGTAGAATTTACTTGAGCTATTCTTTTTTTCTTTCCTTTTTTCTTCTTTCTTCTTTCTCTCATTCTCATTTTCCCCTCCTTATTTCTTTTTTATATGTCACAGAAAGAGAAGAATGGAAAAATAATAAAACAACAAAACAATAGAGAAAATAATGTAGATTTCTGGTGAGAAATGGAAAAGTTTGAAAAAAGCACTGAAATATTCAATTTCAGAGTCATTCTTAGAAAGAAATTAGATTGGAAAAAAAAGTTTTTAATTTAAGGTGAGACTGTGTATCGCCAATCTTGTTAAATATTCATTCCATATTGACTGGAGCTATTGACAGGACTAAGGTAATCCTCAATATAAGGACTTCAAAACTGTCCCTTAAGAGCTATTATGACGAATAACTGCAATTTTCTTTTCAGCATGGACCTGAGGATTTATCATATGGATAGTGGGTAAATCTGGTCAGAAGGTCATCTCAGACCCAAATTTAATTTACAGTGTACACATACTCAAAGGAGAATGACCTCATCCAACCACAATAATAACCTCACCATTATAACATGATGATATAAAAATGACAAAATTGAAATTTCTTTAACTGTGTTGGGTTTGTTTTGCTTTAGGTAATATAATTTTTGTTTTAGCCCCAAATCTGTACTACAGAGGTTTGGAGAGTGCTTTGATACCACTTCCAAAGGCAAGAAGAGTCAGCATTTATGAAAATGAATTCTACTTCTGTGAGTTAAGCCAAGCAGACTTGTACACACACTAAATATCCTGGCATATATCAGAATAAGAAAAGTTTAAATTGGTTATGGCAGACTTATTCCTTATCAGAAGTAATTCAGTCATCCTTATCTACAAAGTTGTTTTGCTTACTGTCCTGCATTTACTCAAAATGCTTTTCCAGCATAGACTTCTACAGTATCTCACACTGTAAAAATCTTTACATCTTGAAGGCTTCAACTGCAATATAAATGGATTTAATCCAGCTCTTTTTGGATTCACTAAAACTCATTTTCATCAGACAGTTGTAAAACGAAATGAGTTTGGTGGTCTGTACTGTAGACTTTATTGAATGATAATACTTACCACAAGTAGCAAGAGGTTGCTTAGAAACTCCATAAAAACACTCCTAACAATTTTAGATTACTGCATACTCTATCAAAATAAGGCATGACAGAAAGCTAATCTGCTAATGGCTAAGAGAAAGATGAGCAACTTTTGCTTCTGTGTTCACTTACTTATTGTCAATGAGGTATTTGTTTTTGCTGAGCTCAAACGTATTATCAAAAATGACTCTTAAAAGGGGTATTTTCAGGCTTGCAGCCATAAAGTTGGTCCTCTAAAATATCAGGATTCGTATGATTCTTAACCACTTGTGTCCAAAAAAAAGAGTGGAAAATCATAGAAGCAGAATTTCTGATATCTCAAACTTCCCCGTTCCATCTCAATCTTTAAATCTCTTGTTACTGTACAGTGAGGGCTTGGACCAAGAACCTTGTTGGTTCATTTGTCAAGAGAAGGGGTGATTCACATTTTTATGGATATGAGTTTTTCTGTGTTATTTGAATTTGCAGGAGTGGATTCATAATGCTGTACAAAGTATTTGCAGAATAGTCCTTTTTGCACTGCTTTCAAGGTCCTTACAATCCTCAATGTCCATTCTTCCCACAAGATAGGGAAAATAGTGTCTGTGTGTCCTGCTAGACCAACTGAGGAACTGCGGCCCCTGAGGGAAGGAGATTACTTCAGTGCTATCTCAATGATAACTAAACGGGAAACAATAAAGAAAGGAATATTAATAAAGAATGAAGAAGAAAAAAATGTAAGTGCTAAGGTTTATAAAAGCAGAACTGTACCATTTCCATGTAATTCAGAAGGGCGTCTCTGTTTTCATGCCAGATTGTAAACAATTCTTCCTCCAAAGGAAACTTTTCACATCCTACCTCCACCGTAATTTCAAAGCAATTTGTATGAAGGTAGTTAAAATCTGCCATACCTACAGGCAAAAAAAATAAAGGACTGTGAACCCATTTAACATTTAACCCTTAACTAGAACTTTACTTTGACACTTAGTTGAATGTAATCCCTGCAAATGTGGTTCAACATATTGTCATGAGTGTGTACAACTAATATATAAAAAATATTCCGCAAATTCAGAAGTTAAGAGGCCTTAGCTCACTTATGAATTAATTAATGACTGTGACACTTCTTTCAGGTGAAAAGCCTTCCTTTTAAATTGTTTTTCACCCAACTCAGAAGCAGCAGTAGAAAGATAAGAACTGGCAATTCATAATAACTGAATAATCAGCAAGTGTCAGAGGTGACTTCAGAAGGTCACCAGCAAAAATAAACACTTCTGAAAATTTTATGAACACTGATATTTCATCCATGTCAATTTCAACAATCCTAAAGAAAATGAAATAACACTAATGAGGAAATCAAATTAGCTACCTAAACACAAATGAATATGCAATCTGCCTCTGTTGTTTTCCTTAGTGCTCTTAAACACTCTTAAACTCTCTTTCCTTAGCACACTTAAACTTTATTTAAAGAGATCAAAAACGGGGTATGAATGTGTAAAGTAGAACTGAGTCCAGAAAATGGGTTAAAATTCATGCTGCTGTTAAGGAATAGGAACATTGTATTAAGCATTTATTTTCTCATAAACTGTCCTTTCAGATTTTAAAAGTAGGATGACATTAGATACAATAACAAATTCAACACCTGCATAACTTAACTTCCCTCAGACTATATCAGGGCTGACTTCCTCCCACAATATCTAAATAAAAATGGTAGCAATATACATTTTACTTCTTAAATCCCTCTCAAATTATTTTTTGCAGGGGTCTCAACTAAAGTGAACTGAACTGAATAAAATTGCTTCTTTCAAGCCCTTGTGTCTCATAAAGGTCACATAGAGGTTTTACCTCACTTGATATGATGGTAAAGTGGTTTTACCTCCAGTGAAGCTGTACCACTCAGCACCATTTATAATACCTCCACGTTTCACAAAGTTTCCACCACAACGAAGCTCCGATCGGTCGGAGATGACCGGGTGTGCATCTGCATATGCTTTAGCCAGCATTTTAAACATCTGTAACAGAAGAATTTGTCATATATTCAATTATGCAAACTTTAAACCCTGTAGCGTTCAGTCATTAACGCTTTGCATAGTGACTTTTCCTTTTGTAAGACCTAACTATGAGCCACCCTGCACCCTCGAGGGCTGCGAACACCGGTGAGCCTCCTGGCAAGGATATTTCTCCAGGGAGTATTGAACTATCTTCTCTGATGTCCTTCTCTGCACTTCAGTGTATCTACCTAGGAATGATATTAAATACAAGTGGATTTTGCAGTATTTGGGCTCAGGTTTATCATTTGAGAAGAGAGTAAAAGCTTTGTTTGGTTACACTTTAAGTCCTGGTCTTAAAAGTGAATATTAGCTCTCCTTGTTATGTTGTAGTTTATGTTTTCTTCATCCTTTGAAAAACACCCTACACCAGCTATATATCTTTAAGAAGGGAACTGGTATTTAAAAAAGAGATTGTCGATTTGCTTTGCACTTATCACTCACACAGGAAAACCTGTCAGCTTGATCTCAATGGCTGTTGCTTCTTCATGGGGCAGAAAGCATTCCTAAAAAGTGAAGGACTAGGATGTGGTGATGGAGGATGTCACCACCGATTTCCTATGGAGCATTAATGCTGATGAAGAGCAGATGAGTCACCACTCAGACAAGAGAAGTGATGGATACATGCAGTGAAGACAGAGGAAACAGCAGAGATCTGTGGAGAATGAGGTTCTTCCTACTTTTTCTCTGATGTTAAATCCAAATTTGTACTGAACTTCCTCCCCTCCACTCCACATTTTTTTTTAATCTGGACCTCATCTGCATAAACTATAAATTCAGTCTTCAACACTAAAATGATACAATAGTCAGATGCTACTGGTTCAGCTCAGCATATTGTATATTGTATATTTGTTTAAGAAAACACGTCCAAGATGATGAAGAGTTTAAATCCTGACAATAACAACCCAGCATTAAAAGCAACTTAAGGAGCTTGGGTAAACCTCACAGTGCAGTAGGCTGACTTAGAAGTTAAATCCAAACACTTGGTATCCTAAATCAGATGCTTTACAAAACTATATGAATTATCCTCAGTGCAATTAATCAAGTTCTCCAAAGCCTGAAGGTGATTTGAATGATATCACCCCCAGTCTCTACTCATACCAGTGCAAAGAATAACTGTTTGTCATTTATGGCAGGAATTGAAGGGCTTATCAATTTTATTTTAAAGTACCTGTAGATTTTGCTAACTAACTCCAGTTTCAGGCCATTTGATACTTTCAGGCACAAGCTGAAACTCTTGATGATAATGATGATGAAACTCTAACTAATTGCCACTAATGGTGTTAAATATTCTTCTCCATCAGAGCCTGGAACATATTAGAAAAAGACACTCGGCAGTTCAGGTAAAAGGTCACTCTAGGTGAGGTTTTGGCCTCGTGCACAGAGAATAAAACATTAATCTTCATTTCAGAGGGTTTTTTTCTAACACAGCACTGAGTGACTATACTGTGTTTTTTCCTTGACTTCAGGGAATGAAAAAGGATAAAATGTTATCACTGATGCTGCATGAAGCCTGAAATGACCAAGCACACTATTTGGACATGGTCTGTATAATGGGATGTTTCTAATAAGCACAAAGCTGGACTAATTCTGGGATCAAGTAGCTGACCAAGGAAGAATGACAAAGTGCTATGTAAAGTTTAAAGGAAGCTTTCCAAAATGTTCCTGATGACCAGATGCTAAAAATCCTAACTTCAAACTGCAAAACATTTTTGTACTTCCCTTGATATTCCATATGTCTAAGCACTGCTCAGCCCCACGCTGTTACATTTCCTTGAAAGTTCTGCTGAAAAGAGATGGATGTTAATTAGACATGTTAAAAAGAAGTTTTGTTGCCAGTAGTTTAGGGACCAGACTCTCACATCTTTAACTTCTAAGGGAGTTTGGTGGTCAGTTCTGGGCCGTCTGTAGAAGGTGCTTGCTAGTAATTAAAGAAAAAAAAAAAGCCTCTCTGCCTATCTATCTGCCTCAGGAATATGTTTCTCATTTTTTTTTCAAAGACATTCACAGATGTTTTATTTCTGATGACCGATTCTCTCTTCTCCAGGTTCATAGCAAGTGGTATAAGGCTTTTGTCTGGGTGTTAATGCAAGCAAAAAACGACGGGTGGTAGTGGGGAAAGGAAGCAAGAAATCCAAAATCAAGGGAACTAGATTTAAAAATTAAGTTTAAATACAAGTTAAAATTTGCTCAGACAGCAATACATCTATGTGTCACTTAGAAGCTAAGCTATAAGTAGATATAGACCTCAAAAAACTTGCATATTTTGGTATAATGAAGAGTATCAAAAGAGAGAAAATAAATAAAAAAGTAAACTTCTTGTGACTTTAGAATGAGATTTGGTAAAATGTGGTAAACTCCATTCCTCGGGTGGCACTTTTACCTCACTGAATTTCATAGTATCTTTTTTTTGTAAAAAAAATACTGCAGAGGTTTGTAAACGCCAGGTTTGTAGTAGAGGGTCTACAGTCGTTCAGGTCTCACAAGTGAATCCGCACTCCTCTGATATCTAAATGTATATCCCCTTGCCTCCAGCAAGGGCTACGAAATGAAAAGGATACAGGGGAAAAATGTAACTGATACGTATGTGTGTTCACATTACTGATGCCCTAGTCCTCACCCAGACCTTCTGCAGTTTTCATTACCATTCGCTGAACATTTGCTCTGCAGGCTCTGTGCTGTGCCATGCCTGGCCCTGGGTACTGCTAACTCACATAATCAATAGGTGTTGTGCAGCTCAGAAGAAACGTATTGATATAGGAATTATTTAATAGTGATAAATACTGAAATATTTAATAGTTCCTGGTGAGAACTGCCTCTTCATAAGAGACTCAGCCAAAAGATATGCTTGAAGATAACTGATATACCAAATTAAAGAGCAACTGCTATGTATTTTTAATTGCTGTTTGGCTACATAAAGAACTACTCTTTCTTCAAAGGCCAGAAACATCTTCAACATACACTAAAAGGCTAAAAAGCTAGCTGTTCTCCTAGTGGGCATGTCAGCGATGAATACTAGATTGAGAAAATCAAAGGGAGATGGGAAAGATGGCAAAAAATTTCACAGAAGATTTACAGTGAGTCCCAAATGAGAAACTTTCCAGGGACAGAGAGACAGGAAAGCCACTGACGTTAACTGACCTGGAATAAATGTGACAACGCTGCCACCATATGGCAGCCACTCTTTTTATTTCTACAGCCCTGGATTTCAACAGAAAATAATGCTGCTGGTCAGACTTGCTCCATTTCTCCTGGCACCTAGAAATAAAGATATCAGATTCTTGGCTCCTTAAGTGTAAGACCCTGCCTTTTTCCTAACCTTGCCTTGTGGTGTCACATTTGGCATCACAAAATATCAGTAGATCATTACAAATCAAGCTGCTAATGTGCAAATGATCCTACATTGGAAAGAAAATTAAATAATTACATATAACATATATCTATACTTACATACATATATAACACGTATAAAATCTAAACAAATCAAAGTTAGTCAAGCTTGTTACTTGTTAAAAGCAGTTCTCGTGGTTCCACATGTGGAAGGCATACAATATATTCACCCCGTGAAAGGAATGTTACCTTCTCATCAGGTGTAGGGGAGAACATTTTTTCTTCCAGCGGGTGCCTCGAGTAGTCATAAGGATAGGTCACCACCAGCTCTCCCCCGTGCAGGCTGGCAGAGAGCACGAAGGGGATAGACCTCAGCCACTTCATCACTGCTTTCGTCTCAGGGGCCACCTGAAGGACAGGAGGGAAAAAAAAAGAAAGAAAGAAAAAAAAGACAGGCTATAAGTGTTCATGTAGTGTGGACAGGATTTGGTCCAGGGCAGGATAAAGCCCAGTGGGAAAGGGAGTGTGTCAGAAAGGAGGATGATGTTGATCCTCAGGCCCTCAATCCCAAAAGTCAGCAGGAGAAAGAGCTGGTTTGCAAATAAGTGAGGCACTTTACTTCTGGATACCCATAAACTAGAGAGAATCACCGAGGAAAAACTGCAAAAAGAAAGAGAAACTTTGACAAAAGACTAGCATTTTATTGCAATGCCATTTTCAGCAATTGAGTGTCATGACGTCATTTTTTGAATCTGAACATTTCTGGCATTGCACCATCACTTGCAAGCCACTTTTTTCCAATTCTAATTCCGTTCCTGAATCGGTGGGATTAACCCAGAATGGGTAAGCAGAATATGTGGAGTCATTTTTCACGCTTAGCACTCGCTCAAAACGCACTTCCTCCCTCTCGGTAGTTTAGCCCAGGTTCCTCGGCAAATCATGAAGATTAATGAATAGAAAATTCAGAAATCGCCACAAACAAGGCTCAGGATTTGTCACGTCAATTGAGCCATGGCTTCTAACGGAGTGAGGACGGGACTTCCCAAGACCCTTGGCACCCCAGCACCAAAACGCAACCCCGCTCTGTCCCAGAACACCAATTTCTCTGTCCTGCTCCGGCCTTGGCTATATCGTAGGGACAACAGTGTCATCTGGTGGTCGCTCCTTGCAAGCCCAGACACCCAGCCAGCTCTTGTCACAGGCAATGCTCCGGTGATTTGCAGTTTAAGAAGTCACCAGTGGACAAGCGAGTGATTGCACAGTGCAGGCTGCTTTGCACAAGGGCAGATACGCATTTAAAAAAATAAAATAAATTAAAAAAAGAAAGAAAAAGAGGAAGGACTTTGTCCACAGCTGCTAACACTACTTATCCCGTCACTGTTTTAACCCCATCAGCTGTTTGGAAATTATCCAGTCAGGAGCCTGGAGTGGCTAAGAACTGGTAAGCTTGAACTGAGTGCTGCCAAAGCTTAAACAGCAACACGTAGGGAAAATAAATAAATAATAATAATAAAAGGCTGTAGATTAGGATTGTGAAAATACTAACTCCTGTTTTCTTTGGATCATTCTTCAGTCTGTTCCACAAATAAAACACAACTTTGGGAATGTTGACTATCACTAAGTTAGGTTGGAGCAGAAACACCTCCATGGAGCAGTGTTTCACCATGGGATATTAAAACTCTCTGAACAGAGGCAGAGAGCAAAGGACCTCATGGAAGGTCATCTCTAGAGAGAGATTTACAAAAATTAGTGCAATTACATCAAGACGAAGTCTTCCCTCTCTGCATCTATTCATCTGGCAGAAGGCCAGCGGGATCCAGATGAGTCTGTCTGTTCTTGGTGCTCCATCCAGTGTCTGGCAGGATACGTGCATGTGGGAAGCATGTAATGGCCTGAAAACCTCATGCAGTGTCATGGAAAAGGTCACCTGCACCCTACTAGGTTTGGGTTGTGCCTGCCAGCACTACGGCAGGTGACACCAAGCCAGGGCTTGGAGGACACTCCTGGCCAGGGAGTGGCCATTTTTCTGAAGAGACAGAACAAATGAGGTCCTGTCTGGGGTAGATCCCTTTGAAACTGGATTCTCATATTTCAATGAGAAAATTTCTGTTTAAGTAGCTCCTACAATTCATTAGGCAAGGAGCTAATTCATTTTACTCAGAGTGCTCCTATAACCAGCTTCTCCCCCTGGTTAACCCAGCGCATGGCTAGGTACCTGCACAACCCACAGGACAGCACTGGGTCACACATTCAGCATCTTATTGAGGGAAATGTTGTGGAAAATCTTTCAATGTCACTATTTTTCTCTTAGTAGCATTTCAGTGACATCACGCACAGTGATTAAGGCTTTGAGATGTGTGCATCTCTCCTTATCCTGGTTCAACCCAATGAAAAGATATCAGATGCTACTTGTGCTACCATGGCCTTTGGCTATTCATAGATGTTTCCTTTAATGTGGGTTTGTTTAATTTGTTTTGTTTTCACCAGAGCCCTTACTTTTTTAGTCAGAGGACGTCAATCTTAAATTATCTATCTCACAAAAGCAATTTAGGACACAATTAGAAAGTAGTTATATTATTTGGCTACAAATACTATACATGGCCTTTAACAATTTGAAACCTGAATCCCATTTCTGTTGATTATACTGTATTTAGGCACCCACAGTTTTCAAAGACGATTTTCTCCCTTTTAGAACCAACAGGACTCATTCTCCTAAAGACTATGCCAGCCTCCTGTGTCAGCCCACAAATCCTGTTTGAATGAAGCCAATTTAACTGACTTCACTTTAGCCCTCAGACCCCCTATTACAATAATTCATAAAAACCAAAAACAAAATCCCAAAGCAGGAGTTAGGCAGAGGCCTGGAGCTCTCCTGAGTCTGTGGGACTGGCCAGGGGCTCACTCTATTTTCTTGTGACCTCTGCAATACTTAGATAATTACTTTAATAAGGCAGGTAATAAACACTATTAAGAAAATGGTAGGTGAGAGGCTGATATTGAGGTTCCCTGTGCCCTTTGCTGCTGTGAGGGATGATTCATCACCACATTTCTATTTCCTCTACAAAGGCAAGGACGTATTTGATGCCATGGTGCCCTGCTCCCTGCTGAAGCAGAGCTCAGGCTGATGGAGCATCCTTACTCACCGGTGCTCAGGTGAATACATCCAGGGAAAACCAAAAGGCATTTTCCAGGTATGTCAGGCCCTCACTAGAGCCTGTCTGCATGCACAAGTCTGTCTAGCTGACTTTTCTGCTAACATCCCTTTTCTGGGCTGTTTTCATTTGGCCTCTGACCTCTGGCCACGTTTTCCTATCTATCTGCTCTCATGTCTGAGGCTCTTCACTTGCTTACCAGCTTACTATTAGCAATCATTATTCTGTCAAAATTTGGAACATTTTAAGTCTGTGATCTTACACAGAACACTAGTGACGTGATTGGGAACTGCACGATAAGAAGTATAAAATAAATTTCTTAGGATGAGTCACTTTGAAAATCAGCAATATCTGCTCTATTGCACAATACTGAGCTTTTCTCAGCATTCCTTACCTGCAACATTGTCCTGAGGCAGTGCACTGCTTTTATCCAGACTTTCGTGCTGTGAAACAAGGTACCAGGGCACTGAGGCAGTATCAGAGATGCCTTTGGGATTTAGACCTGGCATGAGGTCATCTGGGGCAGAGGCAAAAATGCAAGTGTGGGCTCCCAAACCTGCTAATACACCAACTGCTGAAACTCTCCTTTTCCCTACTCATTTGAGGCTTTTTGCTAGCAAACAAAATTGAAATGGAAACCAAAACAAAACTCCTTGAGTTTAAAACCATGGTTTCAAGGGAAAGGAAAAGAAAAGAGGTATTCTCACTATCAGAGCTACTGACTGAGCTTCTTGTGTTTCTTTTTTTAGGGGAATCCAGTTCCCATGTGAGCTGCCAGCATCAGGGGATGCCAGGCAGTCAGGGGGCCCACGCTGAGCATCCCTAGGCACCAAGTGATGGGGTGAACATGAGCCCCTGCAATGCTGTTTCTGTCCCACTCCCCATGCTGGGAGATGACAGCAGATCTTCAGTCATCCTTCCAGCACTACAGGAGTCTGAGCAGGTGCTTCAGTTGCTCTGGTTACTTATGAGCACTTCTAACCTTCTTTTTTACGGAAAGCTGATGGCAAACAGCTTCACAGGAAGCCCAGTTTCTAGGATAGGAACCCTGCATCAAATCTGTACAGAATTCAGTGTATTCAGATCCAAGTCCATAAACAATCTTTCAACATGTTACCACTGTGTGAATCACTAGCAAACAGTCATTACACACTGGTGACCCCTCCAAACAGTTACTATTTTTTTTTAATCTAAAATATCAGAATTCAATTTTTGCAAAATTTTTCCCAATGATCTATGATCCCTGTCCCTTTGACCAAATCCACCCCAAGACTTTTTCATGCTGATACTGAGTCTGTCCAATTTAGTCCTACTTATAATACCTGGTTGCCAGAGAACAGGCTCTTAATCTGTGACCTGCTCTGCAGTATATGTGATTTATAAAATGTGTAATTCATACCTTACCCCACCAGTAAGATTGTGGAATGGGGATGTGGTCGAGGCGTGCCCCACGGATCCCTGCTCTTCTGTAAGCCTCGGAGGTCAAATCTGGGAAATTTCTGTTCAGGTCCAAGTTCTGAGCTGTCTGTCGTCCAATGACCCAGCCGTTGTAACCAGCTCCCTAATTTACAACACAGAGGGCAGTTTCAGTATATTTTCCATTTTCAAAATATCCTTTTTTTTTGAAAAAAAGTGTATTCAAAATGCAATTTCATAATCGCTAAGGGAAAAATTTACAATACCAGTAAATTTTGAAAGGCATTAGAGATTTGATGAGAATATCTATACAGTTAAAAAAAAAAACACCTTTTTTATTAATCATTTTTACCCCCATGTCCCTGAAGCACTTACACAGGAACCATTTCACTCACCAGTGGTGGGACTCACGAGAGGACCTCAGCAGTTTCTTACCCAGCACAGAGCAACATGCAGAGTGTGTTAGAGGAGAAGAAAAAAAGAATACAGCTGACACTCAAAGGAAAGATCAGGAAGAGTGCAAAAATCCCAAACTCATTCTAACAGATATCGCTTACCACAGGAGCAAGCTCAGCAAAAGCAAGGCCCTGTTTCTATTCTAATGCAGCAAATGATAAAATTGAGGTGAAGAACATGAGGTAACACGTAACAGAAATATTGTTTTCATATGTGTTCTTCAAACACAAACAGGGCTCTAAAAATTGTCATCCATTATGAAGGATTGGTAGTAGAGAAAATATTAGTGTTTTATTGTACCTCATTTTCTGCAGGAGGAAGAATGACTATTCCATTTCCTTATAGAGACATCAAAAGTGAGCCAATAGGCAATTTTTCTAGGATACATAGCACAGACCACCGAATGTATGAAAAAGTGTCATGGTCGATCTTGTATCACATCATGCAAGGAGAAATAAGAGCCAATGTGGCTTTAATTTCCTATTTGTTCTGTTCGTATAACAACTGGAAATCAAGTTGCCATCAGATCAGAGTGGGATTTTATCCACTGTTAGCATCCTTCCTACACCCAAAATATCACCTCTCCCTTTGTCCTTTTCCATGGCAAATTTTAGCAGGAGGAAGAACTGAGCATTTCTTTATAAAAAATGTCTTTTACCTCTTCTGCAGCCAGTTCATACCCATCCGGGTTGAGTGACGGTAAGAGATGAATCCTGGTGTTATTAATCAAGTTCTGGATGCGAGGATTCCCAAGAAGATACTCCGAACACAGATACTGTGCAAGGTATATCAGCAGCTCTTTCCCAACAACTTCATTTCCATGCATATTGCCAATGTACTTAAATTCTGGCTTGACTGTGAAATATGAAGTAATGAGATACTTTAAATTGATTATACCTGAACAGCTTCCAAAAACAGAGCAATCCAGCTGGTTTACTGATGAATCAGAGAGTTTTATTTACACTAATCTAATACATACGTTCCTGTAAATAGCATGTCAGTTGCAGATGAATTTCCCTCCATTTCAAGTCAGTTCAGCAACAACTTAAGTGGCTTTCTGGATGCATGAAATTAAGTAAATCCAGGACCCCAAACCACACAAAGTAATCATTGCAGTTAGCTTCAGCTGAACTCATTAACTCTGAGCAGGGAATGCTGTAAACAGAAATGTCGTTTTGTCCCAGTGCATGGCTGGGAAGGGACAAAATACATCCCACTTACCTAGGGTTTTGGTGCCTTCCCTTGTCAGAGATCTTAGAAATAACCTGCAGATGAGTAATCTCCGCATTTGGAGAAGAAATTAGGTCATGCAAGAAAAGCAGCTTTCAGGCCAAATAGCCTTGGAAGACAACTGCTGGAAGTGGATGACCTCATGATTCCCTGCAATTCTCTCAATTTCTGTTGTTCCACAGAGACCAATGAAAAGTAGAAAATAGATGAGTTGTGAAGACACCCTTTTCTGTACACACTTTCATCTCCACCTTTGATCCTGCCCAGCCTAGACCACAGAACTATTACTCCAGGTCTGGGTCTAGAGGTATTTCCACCTTTCTTTCTGCTCTCCAAAGCAGCATGAAGCTCTGAATGATGCTAGATGATATGTTAAAATATAATCTTTTTTTATGCCATATCAGAGTTTTAGTTTAAAACTTAAATATTGCTAATTCATGAGGTTCACACTGATTCCAACAGTGTGAAATGGAGTATCATGTAACAACTGCAACTGTAATCCTGCAACTTCTATTCTTCAAGCAGAAAAGGAAGAGTTACAGGCCAGAATATATGAGTGTAAATCTCAGTTCTGTTGAAGACTTTTTCCATGATCCTGATCAATTTTAAATGTATCTCAAAATATCTCTATACCAGGCAGGGAAGTGTGGTAAATAAATCAACATCAGTCTCTTCAGCAGCAGAACACAGCAACAAGAGGAGCAACAAGCTCAGCCTCAGATAATAAGCTCAGAAATGTCACACTTAGTTCTGTTCTGTTGCACTGCTGAGAATGCTCTGATTCTGGAGCTGGTTTGACGAAAAGTAACCTGAGGCTCTTGGTATGTAGAAATGGCTCCAAGAAATCCACCCGGATTTAGGCAAGTGTTAGGTGTTTGAGCTGGGAGCTGGTAACTAGAAAATAGCATCTAATATTTCCCAGGAAACCTGTCTGCATTTTGAAGGATTTACTACACTTAAAAATGTGGCCCTTTCTGTCTCAGTGATGAATCTGCAAAATCAGACAATAACACTATTTGTCTTCACAGAAAAGTTGCAAGGACTCCTATCCTAAAGATACTCAGGTGGCGTGCTCACATAAAATCCTGATATTTATCTGACACGTATTGCATGGACCTGAAGATCTGTTCCAGAAGGTTGTTTTCTGCCCTGCATAACCATTTTTGAAGTGTCCTTCTGAGGACACATCCTTCTGATGTATATGAGACCTTCTCCCAAGTTCTAAATGACTTAGGATGTGTAGTTTAGCAGTCCACCTCATCAACACTGGTATAACTCACGCAGTTCATGGTGTCCAGGCTTGGTTGAAAACTCAATCACAAAAAGATCCTTCCCTTCAAAACTACGACCAATGCTGTAAGTTGTTGCAATATGGGAGCATCTAGAAGCAGTCTTCTTCAAAACGCTCACCATTTGGGAATATGAATGGTGTTTGAACTGAATAAAAGTTGCTGGCAAGTCTGAAGGCAAATCTTCCTCAACTTCTGGTTCTCCTATGAGGAAAAATTATAACACAGTGTTTAAAGACCATGGTGCTCAGAAAGAGGATTGCAAAAATGCATGTACTTTTCCTCAAGTATGCTTCTCCAATAGTGGAATTATAGAAATTACAGCTGCAAACAAAATCTTGCATCTATGTAATTCATTCTACATCTTTTAGTGTAACATACTTTGCTTGCCAAAAAATAGACTTATGTATTTTTATTTTTTTAGTCTCTAGCTGTAATTTGACAGTTGGTGCATTTAAATAAAAATGTCTAGTGTATTTCAGGGACAAAAGTATGGATTTTTGCCTTTGAATTCCGTGGAACAAATTTATTTTTGATATGATTCAACTGCCTTCAGTTATCTATATCTTTTTCATTTAAATAAATATCTCCACTAATCACAAATGAGATTATTTTAGTGAGCTGTTAAGGTTGTTAAGCTGTCACAAACTTATAAGCACCTTAAAATTTCATCTTGATACCCTGTGTGCACCTTTCAGGGAGAGACACAGGCACATCATGAGTACAGTTTAAATAAGTGTCTCATATAAGGGTGACAAAATGAATACCACCTTACAGGTGTCCATAAAGATGATAAGCTCAGAGGTTTCATGTCGCAGTCAGGTCAAGTTCAGCGAGAGAAGATTTTACCATCTGAGTCAAGCAGAGATGTGAGCACAGGCTCCATTCTTACCTCGCAGCTTTGCCAGTGGGTCAAAGCATCCTTCTTCTTCCCCAGCAAAAAAGCGATCGCAGTCTAAAAAATACGGCCAAGCCATATCTATTGCATCAAAAGCGGGGAGGCAATTTTTTTTCAGGTGCTCACAGACATGTCTGCAGGGCTTGATGACTTTGTCCTTCTCACACTGCGGGGCCAGCACCGAGCAACCCAGGAGCCTCAGATCCGGATTGCACTCTCCCTGGAGCAGGTTGTGCAGGACACTTATGAGAATATACTCAGAGCTATACTCTATCACTTGTCGAGACTTCTGATCCAGTAAATTAGGATACATCGTCTGAGTATAGGCAACATCAGTGCAAGAACTTAAGGAGATGTCCACACATTTTGCTATGAAGAAGGTAAGAAGAAAAACAGGAAAAACAACTTGCTTCATAGACATTCTGAATGGAAGAATTATAACAAAGTCAACCTTGCAAATAACACATTTGATTGATTGATAAACTTCTTTTTTTCTTTTTGTTGATAGATACACAGTTTAATATATTCCCAAATACATTGGATGCCCCAAACCATTTCTAAAAAGATCTAGAAAATATTCCTGGTTTGGAGATTGAGTGTGAATGGCTTGATGCAAGTAGACACCATTCAGAAGCGAAATGATATCTGACAATTTTATGGAGCACCAAGAATTTCAAACTGATTAGCACAGCTCCTGAAATCAGATTATTTTGCCGATTCAATACCTGAACACAAATGAAAGGGCAGATCCCTGGGCAGAAAGCACAAGCAGACCTGGTCCACATGGAAGTTCATTTAACACGTAGGTTGGAGAGCAGAAAAATGAATGAATCCTGGTGTCCAATGGATTACTATCCCATGCTTAATTAAATCTTATCTGATTAAAATTAAGAGTACAGTATGAGCTTATTAAAAAACAGAGAAATCACAAGAGAAAAAAATTTCTTGTTGAGGTGAGAATTTGTTTGTGTCTAATATGGTAAAAGCTCAGATGCCCAAATAAATTGCATTTGTGCTATCACAGTAGGGGTTCTCTAATATTAAAGACATGAGATCATGCTGATGCGTTTTCCTTAGTGGGTAAGATATCATGAGGATATCTGTCTTCTTTGCTTGCCTGAGCAAAATTTATAAGAACTTAATAGCTCTTAAACTTTAGCTCCACTGTGAAGTTTGAAAATTCACAGAGTTTAAAAAGTGTTCAAACACAAAGAGTTTAAACACAGAGTTTAAACAGTAGACCCTTAAACACATATATACATCTCATAACTGTAGTTTAAGAAATCAGGTTAAGAGCCATTAGGAACAAAAAATGTTTGTAATGCCTTTAACCAAGTCAAATGTGAAAAGAAAGTAATAGTGATACGTCTCTTTTTTGCAGAAATACTGGATATTACAGTGGTGGCCCCTGTTTGTGCCGCATTCTCTTGCTAGTCTTTGGCTAGTAATAAATGGTACTAATGTCACAACAGCAAAATCCTACCTTGCAGTAGGGAGAATCTCTCTCTAGTGACTAGACCTGTTACAGTATCAATATTGAAAAACTTGGCAGGCAATAATGAAGGAATACTTAAGGCTTTGAGATTTCACAAAGAGAGAGAGCAAATCACATCATACCTTTTTGCACAGTTTGGCACTGTCCTGAAAATAGAAACAAAACAAAAGCATTACGGGACAGCAATATCTGTGTGTTGTTAAACACTGACAATCCCTGCAGCCCAAAGCAGGCCAGGCTGCCACTGCTCCGTGTCCCAGCTCCAACAAGCAGCGTGGCTGAGCACATATCTAAAGGCACGCACATACACACCACACATGCACACAGCCTAACACCTTGGTTCATGTCACATGGACCTTGAATTAAATGCAAACCAAGAGGAAAGTCTACCAACTATTAGATTTCAGTAAGAAAGAGAAAATAGCCAAAATATTATATCTATAACCAGAGCAGAAGTTTCCAATGTCCTGCTTCTGAAATCTGTTGTATCCCACTGGTGTCACTGAAATTGCACAGAAGTGAGACTAGCAGCTCCTCATAATCATTTTTACTGTGTATGAACACTCTGAGAAAGGAGGCCCAATGCCAGTAGAGATTTTAGGCACAAGGATGTTGAGATAAGGGTCTCCAGTCCAGATGACAGAAGCTTTCTCTCTCTGGCTGGAAATATCTTGAATTGTTCTTCCAAAACGGCTCAACTTCCACAAGCGATTTGGAAGCTGCGTTCCCCTCCTCTTCCCTGGGCAGCTTCCCTGGGCAGCTTCAAAACACATATTGTTGAGTTAATGACAATGGAGACATACTTGAAGTCTTTTGGCTGGAGGAGAATCTAAAAACTATAGTAAATGAAAACTCAACTCTAATCCTTTGTAACTGTATTACAAAGGTCCTTCTCCAAACATCTTATTTCTCTATTAAAAATGCAATGCATTGCAATGCAATGTGATGCAACGAAATGAAACAAATAAAACAGGATCTGGCCCACCTTAAAAAGGGAGGACTTTGCAGTGTATGTACAGCTGTCTGAGGAAATGGTCAGTTGATTCCTGCTTGAGAATGACAGGTGACCAGTGCTGACAACATTTCTAGGCATGGTTGCAAGTGGTAAGGTTGGTGCCTAGGAAATTTCTCTAATGAGAGTACAGGTTTTCAGGAACATAGTTTAATCTAAAAGCCCACCTGAGTCCTCTTGTATGTACGAACATGCTTTATGGATCTTGGTCTAGCAGATCTATCAGTTACATGTTACTCTGTGCGTATCCTTTTTCTGAGGCAATTAGGCTTTTGGTGAGTATGAGGGACATATGTCCTCCCCATCCTGTTTCATCCTTTCTCTAGTAACTACATTTCATAATCCTTTTAATAACATCTCAAAATATTTTTTTTCTCTCCAACTACTCTCATGGGAAATCTTTTCCAAAAGCTCACTCCTCCAATGGCTAGAAATTGCCTTTTAATTTCCTGCCTAAAAGTATTCATTGTTAGTTTATATTCAAATGTTCTTGTACGAGCACTGTCCCTTAGCTTAAATAGCTCTTTGAGTTCCCTGGTGCATGTCCTTTTCATGAGTTACGGAGAACAGTCAGATCCCCTTAGCCTTTTATTTACTAGGCCAAATTGAGCAAGCTCTTTTAATTTTGAAGGAGCTTGAACTGATGACCCAGGAGAGGCCTCTTTTACTCCTTTAGCCAATGATTCTATATTGATTTTTTCTAATTCTGGCAGCTAAAGAAAAATGCTGCTGCTAAAATAAGTTTTGGAGCTCTTCTCATCAATGCGTCATTGGAGCTAAACAGTTACGTGCAAGGTTTTTAACGCTGCAGTTTTGCTTGTGCTGTATTGGAGATGTAGCTGTATTGAGATTCTTAATGACTCTCACTGGAGGGACAGGCAGCTAGCTTCTTGCTCAGTGAATTGAGCGTTTGTTCTCAGAAAACACTCTGAAAAATGGCATGCTTTCCATTATTTGCACTATAGAAAGTTTAACTTATAATCTCAATATATTAAATGTAATCATCTTCATGGCTGTTGCTAATGAGTTGATCATTCTCTAGCCAAAATAGAATCATCACAATGCGAACAAATTTAACCTTGGAACCTTGGAGAGAGATGTTTAACTGGAAATCAGTCTGGTTCTGTGTTCTGAATTGTCGTTGATCCACATTACCTCATAAAATGTATGAGGTCCAGAACTGCTAGAAATATCCCATCTCCAACCCCAGCAAGTTCTGGTAATGAGCAAGCTCTAAAGAATTATATCCATACAGATTTATTTTACGACTTGGTACATCATGCTAAAGGTATTAAATAATACGTAGCTCATCAATAGTGCCTTCTATCATAGGACTTCAATGCATTTCCCTTAGGCCCAATCCCTTCAGTGAGCTACTTATTAAGGTCTAAAAAGGCCTCAACTCTGGCAGGTACTGTATCTACTTTTACACAAGAGGATAATCAGGAAAATATTTTGTAGAGAATTAGCTTGGACACAGAAGGGAGTGATCACTTATGAGTAAGAGTTCCACCAATTATTCCTGCTCGTAAGGT